TATCCTGAAAGTCAATCAGTAAACTCAAATATATATGCATATATATCTATATAATCCCCACATATATATTCATTTTATCAGTTCTGTTTATTTAGAGAACCCTGACTAATACAGAGACCTTATGTATTCACTTTTGCACTGGAGTGTAAAAATTCCATCACCCCATTTCTGGTAGCTGTTCAGATATGAATTACTTGATACTACCAAAAATATTTTATTTCTGATTATTGTACCAAACTCAAATATGTGCAGTTTTACTGCTAAGAAAACACCTGCTAATGTGGACAGAATTTTTTTTGTGTGTGTCTTTATGCATCCTGACAAGACATAGTGGGCTATGAGATGGACATGGATGTTTTTACTGTAGTGGCAATAATGTTTTACATTGTCAGCATCTTACAAACCATCAGTGGTGGTGATAACTTGGAGCATTGCTGAAATACAGTGAGCACTTGGGCATTCTGATACCACATATCACCTTTTTAGACGACGCAAAGGATGCGGGGTAGCTGCCACATGAAAGAAACAATAAAACACATTCTATGATGGTTATGTCAGAGAACTCATGGCAATTTTCAGAGTTTTCTCTGCAAGTCTTTGTTGTTTTCATCAGATCTCAATAAAATAAGAGGGGGACAACTGTTATATGTTATACTTTACAAGCTCAGGAAAACATAGACAGAGGATTTAGAATTTTGAGAGATTAACAAGGCATGCTGTGATGAGGTCACATTCAGGTTCCCTGTCCTCTGTCCTGCTGGCTTATCTGCCCACACCTGGCTGTCACAGGGCAGCCAGCTGACCCTGGATATGTCGATTCTTGTATTTTCTAGTCTATCTTTTTTGTGCTTCTCTTTGAAATAGAGAAATGCCGAGCCTTGAGAAGTACCCCGCACCTGGGCTCCCTGTCCTCGTCTCTCCCTGAGTCCACACATCCCTTTGTTCTGACCTCTTCCACACTTTCCCTCTTGTCTTCCCGTTTCCCTTTCCTTCTTTGCCTTGTTCCATTTACATTTTCCTTGAATTAAGATAATAGGTCACTATTCTCCTTCCTGAGGCTATATTACAGTCCTATCTGGGGTTCCTCCTCAAAGGAGACCAGCCCAAAACACAAGTGTTTATCACAGAACACACACTTTTGGGGGCATGTACTTCCAAACTCTGCCACAAGGGGGTGTGTGCGCAATATCTGTGGTGTCTTTGCTGCTGGAACAGAAGGAGGATGGCTCCAGCTTTTGTGAAGAGTTTGCAGGAGGAACTGGATGTGCCATCTAACAGACATCAAGGGCATATGCATGGTACGTGGGTAGAGACAGCAGGTTAGGTGTCTCCGGGTATGTGTGACTGGACTGGAAGATATACTATCTGCCCTTAGATCAATGGAAAAGAGATGATGTAGGGGTGTGTGTGTGTGTGTGTGTGTGTGTGTGCTTGCACACGCTTGCACTCATGGGGAATGTATGCAAGTCCCTCCCTCCTATCTATGCCTCATCAACTTTTGGCACAACACTTTCTTAATCTTTAATCCCTAACTGTTGAAAGCTATTTCATCTCTGAGCTTCTGTCCTCACCTACTATTGCTGTGATAAAACATTGACCAAAACCAAGTTGGGCAGGAAAGGGATTATTTAACCACATTCTCCACACACTTCATCCTTGAGGGAAGCTGGGGCAGGAAGCTGGAGGCAGGAACAGAAGCACAGACCACAGACCGGGGAGGAACGCTTGCTTACAGACTTGCTTCTGTGTCTGGTGCTCAGCCTGCTTTCTTATACAACCCAGGACCACCTGCCCAGGGGTGACACCACCCACATTGGGCGAGGCCCTCCCACATCAATTAGCAATTAAGAAAATGGCTCACAGATTTGACCACAGGCCAAGCCGATGGAGGAAATGCCTTTTCTCAGGTGTGTCAAATTGACAAGTGATTCTACCCAGCACAGCTTCCTTCCAGCTATCCCTAAACACAGACTGTGGGAGGCCTCTGTAGAGCCCTTCTGATCTAGGGATGAGTTCTGAACTCTTGTAAAGATTCCTACCTTGCAAAGTTTCTCCGTACCCTGGTGTTAATTAAGCCTTTTCAGTCACAAAGTTTTAAGAACCAACTCTTGCTGGGACAACTGTAGTCAGAGACCAGAGTGGGTCTTGTTGACGTCTTCGGCTGTGGCATGCTGACGGCCGATTTCTAGGTAAGCCTATGCCATCTTTTGGTGCCCTCCTTACATGACAAAGTCACTTGTCTCTGAGAGTTGAGTAGCAGTGCTGTTAGGAAACTGCTTTTCAGGAGGAACAGTTCCTGAATAAATTAGTCTTGTGAACGGACCACCTAAGCAAGCACTGGGCCAAGGAGCTGAGCAGGCTGGAAGGACTCAGGTGCCTAGCACCAAGTGTGTTAGTGTGAACGGGAACATACATGGTGCTGGTGGTGAACACAGTGCCCGTGAGCAGCAGTTCTAAACCGTCCTTGATACTGCAAGGCAGGGGTATCCTCTCCCTGTGCTCAGAAAAGGTGCAAGACTGTGTAGCCAAGAAAACTGGGGGTCAGACTGAGGTCAGCTTTGGATGTCTCACCCACAATAATGCAGAGTAAGCCGCACTGGGCTCACCTCTCTTCAACATATAATAAGTTTGTAGTATAATGAAAAGGACTCACAGGCAAGACTTGCCCAAGACTTGTCGGAGACCAGGGATCCTTCTGCCTTTCTCTCCCCAGAAGTCAGGGGGCAGGAAGCAGGTGGAGCTTCTGACAGATAGCCACCCCCACTGGGTCTGCAGAGAGTTGCTGTGGTTGCTCTGATGTGTTGGGCAAGCTTGGCTTGGGAAGCACCCCTTGCATCCCTGGGGCTGGCCCTGACCTGGATCTGAGGAGAAGGCAGCCCCGGTTCCTTCCTGCAGTGGAGGGACTCCATGCAGGACAGACGGGAACTGTGAAGCTTTGTGCAAGCTCTGCAGCAGCCAGGGGCAGTTGGCCCAAACTGCTTTAGGTGTGTTATAGCCTCTGAACCTAGAGCAGTATTGTCACACAGATCGTGCTTTGTGAAAACTGGAGTATTTTGGAGAGATCTCTGGCCTAGAAGTCCGAATACTCTGGTTTGATTACTGCCTGCAAGGTGTCTGTAGGGAAACCACAACTTTCCTCAACACCTGCTCTTTGATTTTCTAAATGGCTGCAGGGTTAGAGCCTGCAGGATGGTGGTCTCACGAATAGCAAAGTGTGCCAGCAAGGCCTGGCTGCGGGCTCAGCCAGGTTGGTGGGTGGGGACAATTTCCTAAGCCTTTTACAGAGACATCAGTCGTCTTCTTCCCTGGAGGACCTAGCATGGGCACTCATGGTGCTAGGCACCTGCCCTTTTGGAAGGTTCTGTGAGGAGGAGGGTCCAGAGCAAAAGATTCAGTATCTCTTCTGTCAGCTTCCCAGTGTACAACCCTCCTCTCCAGCTGCTGGTGGGACATCCCTGCCAAGTACTCTAAGGGGGGGTGGGGGGACACAAATTCGGTCTCATGTGTCCCAGATCACTACTTGGGAAGACAGGGAAGTTGGGGCAGGATTCACAATAGGGGGGTCTGGGATCTCAGACTGAAAGTGATGGGACAGTCCCCAAAGTATGAAACTACTCAGCCTCAGTCTCTTGATCTCTAAGTGGTAATAACCAGAACCTTCCCTGGAGGTGTTGAGAGAGCCCAGTAAAGCTGCTAGCACTGCCTGGCACTAAGCTTAATAAAGCTGTGGACTACTACCCAGGCAGAAGATGCAAGATAGGAAAGAAGCGCCATTCCAAGAAGTCTCCATGGTCTTCACTATGGGCTCCAGGGGCTCACACCAGGCACCCAGCTCCTCTGTCTTCCTAAGCACTTACCAAGGAGTCTCATCCTAACTTTACCCAAGGGTCACAGCTACACGTCTGGGCTCCAGGGGCTCACACCAGGCACCCAGCTCCTCACTTACCAAGGAGTCTCATCCTAACTTTACCCAAGGGTCACAGCTACACGTCATTCTATTGACTAGTGCAGGTTAAGGCTACAGAGAGACTGAGGGTAGATTGCTGTAGGGACTCTGAACTGGCACCTCACCTGCAGTCAGGACAGTTCAGCACCAGGACAAGGGGTCAGGTGCATGGAAGTGCATACCAAGGGGCTGGTTCAGCAAATCTTTCCCATGCCCAGACATTGCGATCACAAATACCAAGCACTGGGGGCCTTTCCCAAAACAAAACACCTGCTGTGTTCTAAGATACCCCTAGGCTAATGAAAACAGAGTTAAAGCCCTCTGTGAATGATTCAGATCTCAGCTGGAGGGACAGAGAAGTGGCTAGGCTTTGCCAGGGGATATGACATTGAGGTCAGGACTTGAAGTGTGGGTGGAGGCAAAAGGGGAAAGTCAGGAGTCCTTGGCCAGGGTGTGGGGCCTTTATCCCACACCCCTCCAGGAGTCTGCAAAGGGCCTGCGGGCAGCATTTGCTGGGTTTGGTTGGGTGGTTGGAGGGAGACAGAAAACATCACCACCCACGGTGCGTCCCCATAGGGGACAGTTCAGAGCGGCTCCTTCATCCATGTCCAGCCACCAGCAGGTTTGCAGCAAAGAGAAGCAGCAACCTTGAGCAAGCCGCGGAAGACAAAGACACTCCGAAGGGCACGCGCTTTTACGTAACCGACCTCGGCGCCACCGAGGGTCTCAGGAGGCCCGGGAGCCGAGCCCAGGCCCCTAGATAGGATCCGCGCTTCTGCGTTATTTTCTCGCAGATAACGAGAGCAAAGAGACTTAAGTTGGGCAAGTCCACGGGCCTTTAGAGAGCCAGGCGCCCGGTCGCCCTGGCTATACCCCAGCCAGGCTCGGTCCACCCGGACTGCCCTCCCCGCTCCGCCCTTGTCCCTCCTCCCCAGGATCGGTGGCTGCGTGACCTTGGGGTTCATCCCTTGACCTCTGAGCCTCAGTTTCCCCGGCCCGTGCACCTGGCGACGCTGCCACAGGCGGGTGTGCATGTGCAGGTCGGGCTGGCGGGATGCGCCCCGCGCCGGAGTCCCCGCGGGGTGGGTCCCCACGAGGCGGCGCGCCGGGCGGTGGGCGCAGCGCGCAGGCGCG